ATTTCGCAGATGATTTATGTTTAGTGTCACACATACTTGATTTCCCATAAACTGGAAGATATGCAAGTGAAAAGCAACAAGTTGGCGACAGAAGAAGCATCAAAGATAGGACTTCAAGAGAACATAGATAAAACAGAGGTGATGAAGATTCCTGGCCAACAACAACAGACAACAATCAGCATAAATGGGAGGAACCTGAAAGAAACAACCTCCTTCACCTACCAACCTACCTGGGAAGCATCGTTTCAACTACAGGCGGATGGAAATGAAGAGGATATCAAAGCAGCGAGGATCGGGAAAGCAAGACAAGCTTTCATTACTCTCAAGTTTGTGTGGACGTCAACAGCACTCAGCATGAAAATGAAAATAAGATCCGGATTTTCAACTCCAATGTGAAGTCAGTCAGTGCTACTATACGGATCAGAGACTTGGCGAGTCATAAAGAACATCTCAAACAAACTTCAGACCTTCATTAACAGCTGTCTCCGCTCAATACTCAAGATCAGATGGCCGGCCAGAAAAGATCAGCAACAGGGAGGGATCTCTGGCGATGAGCGAACCAACCCAGCAGGAACCGATTGTGAAACAAATAGGCAGGAAGAAATGGAGATGGATTGACTGGCCATACTCTGAGGAAACCAGCCATCAAGTGACATCACTAGACAAGCCATTGCTCGAGTGGAACCCGAAAGGGAGGCGGCGAGTCGGTCGTCCAAGGGTGACTTGGAGGAGGTCATGCGAGGAGGAGATGAAAGCATGTGGACATACCTGGAGCAGGGTGAAAAAGTTGTCAGAAAACCGAAGGCAATGGAGGTGCACAGCTGAAGCCCTATGTTCCTCTAGGAACTAAAGGATACAATAATTATATATAATAATAAACTTGAAGACTTACAGGCAAAAACCAACAAATTCGCTGAAGAAGCTGACAGAGAAGGCAGAACTCCAGGTGAGTATAGAGAAGACGGAGATGATGAAGACAACCAGTCAACAGCAACAACAACAACAACTAGCACCAATCATTATCAGCGGGGGAGAGATTTGACAGAGGTTACTTCCTTCACTTATCTAAGGAAGCATCGTTTCAAGTACAGGCGGAACCGGTGAAGATATCAAAGTCATCCGGCGAGAATCGGAAAAGCAAGGCAGACCTTCATCACGCTGAAATCAGTGTGTAAAGCGCTTATGCATTCCGGAGAATAAAGAACAAGGGCTGGGATTTTCAACACAAATGTGAATTTAATTCTCTTTTATGAGTCAAACACTTGGTGAGTCACGAAAGGTATTTCCAACAGGTCACAGGACACTTTTGTCAGCACCTTCCTTTGCAGGTTTCATACTGAAGATCAAGTGGCCAGCTAGAAAGAATTAGAAACAACAAAATTTGGCTGGTGAAGTACCCACTAAGTACTTACCTTTCAAAAAAGTACGGAGGAGAAAATGGAGGTGAATTGGACATAGGCCACTGAGAGGAGAAGACCATCGAATGATATCATGCTCAATGCAGGCCATCACTCGAGTGGGACCCCAATATGGGAAATGACTAGTGGGGTGTTGATTCGAGGGTGGTATGAAGAAGGTAGTGCGGTGAGGAGGTGGAAGTGTGTATGAGCAATAGTGTGGAGCCATTCTATGCCTGTCAACTCTCAGTAAGATTGTTCCAAATTAAATAACTGTCTGTCGGAAATGAGTCAGTGGTCCTCTTCAAACGGTCTTAAGCTGAATCCGTCTAAATGTCAGGTAGTCAATTTCACTTTCAGACGTAAATGTGACCTACACCAAATAGTTAGCTCACATGGCCCCACTCTCATTGACGGCACAGAGGTTGAAAATACATCTAATGTCAAGTACCTTGGGCTGAGTTTTTCCACTGATCTTTCCTGGTCCTCCCATATCTTTCTAGTTACTAGAAAGATGTTTCGCTTAACGTTCTACATTAGGAAATTTAGGCAGTCTGGTATAAAGCAATCTTTACTTTCTCAATTTGTAAATTCTTGCATTCTACCCATCCTCCTTTACTGCTCCCCATTAATCTTTCCAGGACTACTTAAGAAAGACTTTGCTTCGCTGAGAAGGGCACTAAAAGCTGTTAGTAGGGCAAGTGGGATATCGTTAAACCAACTGGTGAACACTATTGTAGATAGACATATTATGTCATGTAAGAAACTTGCGAATACAATATTGTCAGACCCCCAGCATCCTCTCTATACGCATCTATCTCCTTGCATTTCATCTGGTAGAACTAGAAGCAGCTATAGGAAGGAGGCTATATGCTAGGACTACCAAATACAAAAACTCCACAATACCATATCTGGCACAGCTGTTATATGATGAGAAATCCGTTAGGTATGACACGATAAACTTACTGCGGCACTCTAACAAATATTCCCATTAGTTTTTGTTTTCCTTTCCTCGTTACTATTACACTGTTGTTCTCATCTTCTACCACACATCAACTTTATATTTCAAATCCTGTAGTGCATTGTTTGAAATGTAATACTCTACGCTGTTTTTTCTTAATTTTTAATATTTATTTATTTTATTTATTTATAACTTATTTATTTTATTTTTATTTATTTATCTTTGATTTTTAAAAATCTTATATAATTTATGAGGTAGTTAGATGCAATATATTGTAATGCACGCTGAAAATTCCATACCTGTACCACAAATACCGTTTGGAATAAAGCTGTTATTATTATTATTATTATTATTATTATTATTAAATTAGTCCCAGCGTCCCAGCATTATTCACTGATGATGTTGGTGATGTTTCCAGCATAATTTAATTGCTCCTTATAATCATATCAAAACACTACTCACACAACATTCCGATTTCCTTTATATAAATCGATTATTTGTCATTTCTTCATAGGATTCATCTCATAGCTTCAATTACTAAATACTGAGATATTTATCTATTATGTTGTTTATTTTGCTTTCTACTTCTTGGTATTTTTTTCGCATTTTTATTTTTATTTTTGTGTTTTTTGTTGTTGTTGTTTTTCCTATGTCTATTTTTTGTAATATTCCTTTTAAATGTTTGATAAAATTAGATGCAATATTGTAGTTATGTGCTGAAAATTCTACACTGTACTACTAGTACTGTTTCTGGAATAAAGCAAATTATTATTATTATTAGTAGTAGTAGTAGTAATATTTTGTTTATATCTCTGGTATCAGTGTGATGATTCATTCCCACTGCTTGTATTAGGTGCAGGTTTGATGAACAAGGATTCAGAGATCAATATCTCTCTTCACCTATGTAGATTACCTTTGAGAATTGTAACTCTGCCACATGCTACGGTGTGATTGTGTGTTGATGCATGGATTGCAATTGCTCAGATTTATTCTGATTTACTGGTTTGACCGATGTAGTTGACTTAACTCACAATCATTGCAAGGAATTTTGTAAATTATATTATTTTGTCTGATTAGATTAATAGGATCCTTTAACCTACACAGCTTGTCCTAACTGAGTGAGTTCTTGGGTTTAAATGTCACCCCAATTCTTGGTTTAGATATGATGGAGAAGATTTGTAGCTCAGGTGGATGATTTTGATGTGGTTTTGTTCTCTGAGCTGGATGGTTAATTTGCGAAGCTTCCATCACCTTACTGGGTGACATCTTCAGCGCATACTTCAATTTGAAGTGAGCTTTTAGATTTCTCCACGAGTTTACTAATCATCTCTCCTGGTGACCTTGGACGTGATTGGTTGTTTTTGTGTTTTCACACCTTCTAGGTTACTTGTATTGGAACCGGTTGTTTCTTTGACTTGAAGGACAAGGACAAAGGAAATAACAAGAATGCTAGAGAATTTTTAGAAGCTTGGCATTCCATGGAATCATCAATCAATAGACACATTGAGATAGACAAAATTTATCAACCAATAAGAAAGAAAATTCACACACAAAGGGTCAAAGTTCAAGTCAAAGAAACAACCGGTTCCAATACAAGTAACCTAGAAGGTGTGAAAACACACACAAACAACCAATCACGTCCAAGGTCACCCACCTGGAGAGATGATTAATAAACTCGTGGAGAAATCTAAAAGCTCACTTCAAATTGAAGTATGCGCTGAAGATGTCACCCAGTAAGGTGATGAAAGCTTCGCAAATTAACCATCCAGCTCAGAGAACAAAACCACATCAAAATTCTTGGTTTATTAAGAATCCTAAGTGGGGGTTTCGCATATCACCTCTTTATATGGTAAAACTGTAGATGGCTTATATTCTTTCTTATTGATGTTGTCACTACTATTTTCAATTTAATTTTTCTTGATATGATTAAGAGCAGCAATAAATTGTTCTCATAACGTCATCATCAGCAAATAATACTGTATAACACTGTGAAACTTTATCAAATAAATTTACTATATGATAAATATTTCTTCTGGGAATTCCTTTGTCTTCTAAACATCTATGTGGGATTGTTTTTGCAAACATTTGCTTCTGAACAAAAGCTCAGGTTAAATCAACTATTTTTTAAAATTTTAGGCAAATATATCTCAACTTATTTGGTATATGATAACTAGCAGTGGAATGGAAACACTCTCAAAGTATCCGTGCTAGAAGCCGATCTGTTCAACAGAGACCGAAGAAATCAAACTCTTCAAAATTAGCCTGATGCTCCCTAGTGAATAGCTGCAGGATGAAGTTGCCTAGAGGTAGTTCTGAGGAGAAATCATGTCCAGTGGGGAAGTAAAGACAAATACTCGCCAACAATGCCATTTTCTAGTGCCAGATGCATCAAATCGTATATTGGAATTCATGGGCCATTGGATAGGGTTTCAGTGGTTGAAAGATCTACGAGCTTGTCTTTTAATTGGAAGATCCTCGGTACGGAACCTAGTGAATGCGTATTGCCTGACTGGTTTTCAATGGTTGGTTCTCTAACTGACATTATTCCGTGATGAAACATGCAAGAGATAGGATATCTTAGTTCCAGTTGGATCAATCAAGTAAAGGTTATACAAAAATTGAAAATGCATGCTATAACTTACATGTATCCATGATTCTAAAGTTTTTCCATTTAGACTTTGAAATTCTCTTTTTATTTGACCCATATCCACTTCACAACGTGATACAATAATACGTATAACAGTTCTGTCGTCTTTTCCAACACCTTTCATTGCTTTGAGTAATTTAGTTGCAAAGTATCTTGGCTTATTTTGTATACATCGAACTGAAATTGAAACGGTAAGCAAACAATGGACTTCATATTTTAATTAGTATTTCTATATAGGCAAATTATGTACACCTTATCTTCAACGCACCATTTGCATAGATCTTTGTGCTATGCTACAAGGGGGCTAAATTTGTTCGTTGTGCCTTCCTAGACTATACATCTGCTTTTGACTCAGTCCCTAGGGACATCTTATTAAATAACCTTGCTGCTTGTCAAACAGAATGTTGGGCTGTTAACTGGTTAGACTCCTATTTCTCAGAAAGAAAGCAGTACACCGTATATGAAGGGATGTCTTCCACTTCATTGCCTACTAAAGCTGGTGTCCCTCAAGGCGTTGATCTTTCTCCTTTCCTTTTTTTCTTTCTTCTTGCATGACTTGCCTCACTCTGATGAAATAAACTTTCTGAAGTACGCTGATGATTTAACGGTTTCAATGGCTTTTAACTCCCAGCTAGATTGTACTAAAATAAATAGCTTTCTATCGGGAGTCAGCGAATGGTCTGAGTCTAACGGTCTTAAACTGAATCCTTCTAAGTGTCAAACTGTTAATTTCAGCTTAAGATGTAAAAGACAGTTAAAAGAAGTCGTCGATTCTCATGACAGTTGTAAAATTGACGACAATGATATAGGAATCAAATCAGAAATTAAATATCTTGGACTTATTCTCTCCTCTGATCTCTGCTGGACTTCCCATGTCTTAGCAATCTCCAGTAAAATATTCCGCCTGACATTTTGCATTAAGAAGTTAAGACACTCGGGTATAACTCAACCCCTACTCTTACAGTTCATAAACTTTTGCATCCTACCTATTCTTCTTTATTGTTCGCCCTTGCTTATTCTTTCCTGGTTTACTTAAAAACGACTATGTCACAATTCGTAGAATGCTGAAGACGGTCAGTAGGGTGAGTGGTGTCTCAGTGGACCACATAGTTAACGTCGTGGTCGATAGGCACTTGACTTCGTGCAATACATTTGCTAAAGGGATTTTGTCTGACTTGGAGCATCCACCACAGCACCCTCAGCTTTCACCTTGCATCTCCTATTCAGGTAGAACAAGGAGTAACTTCAGAAAACTGTATGCTCTCACGTCTAAGTATAAAAATTATATGATACCATACTTGACATGTATTTTATGTGATGAAAATAGTGTCAGGAAAGAATTAACTAACCCTTTTTCATCTAGTAAATAAAAAATTTCCTCTATCCATCCTTATATACCTTCAAGTTCTACTTTTATTATTTCTATTATATTTATGGTCCTGTTGCTTCTTTGTTTTACTCTCATAATTGCAAACACCAACTTATCTCCATGACGGCAGTAATCTTTGTTTTCCCCTCACTATATCATGTAAAGAGAACATTATATTCAATATTTTTAACATGTTAGGATTTCTATACCACAAGCCAACGGCAATTTTCACTTGTATTATTATTATTATTACCCTAGCTGTTATCATTATTATTGCTATTTCCATTTTATATGCTGCATGATTTTGACACTACCTCTATTGTAAATGTGGAAAATTCTCTGTGTGATTAATTTTATTTATAATTTGAGGAAATTACATGCAATATTGTGAATAATGCTGACAATTCCATTCTGTGTCATAAATACTGTTTTTGGAATAAAGTAAATCATTATTATTATTACTTCTGGCCTGGGTGATGTGTCTATCTGTGTTTCCTTCACGTCTGCCATTTATCTCCACAAGGCTGTATCAATTGCTTTCTCTGACTTCAAATTTATCTGCCTGCTATTGGATGTTCTTTACGAATGAACGTCTCTTTACATACTACTAATAAATCTTATCAGTAGCACTAGCCACAAAATAGAATTGTTATGAGTAAATAAAATACTTTAAGAGTATAAGGTGATAATTGTTATGTAGTTGACTGGCTTTTATTTAGATGTACTGATATCTCATTCGGTGTTTCAGAGGTAGAATGCTTGTCAGCCACATACATAGACACAAATGATCCAGATTCCGCTCCCAACCGACGCACTCCAACACGTCGTCTACCCTAGGGGAAAGGTTGAACGTGAGACTGGCGACGCCACTTGATAGAAATAACACAAGCGATACTGAAACTTCATTGCTTAAAACTTGGCGCCCCGCGTTGCCCTCAGAACACAAAGGAGGCCATATTCTTTACACTCATTTCAGAAATCACAGTAAGACTCTTCAAACTTCTAGGAATTGATGTAGCACACAAACAGACAAAACCATTTAACTCAGCTGGCTCTGTGTCAACCAAAAGACTTTCTGTCTGTCTGTCTGTCTGTTTTCGACATAGAACTTTGCACAAATGTGTGGCAGTTCAAGTCGCCATACTCCGTGTAGCACGCAAGAGAAAAACAATTGTTCTCTGTAATTACTTTTGTTCTGGATAAATTATGAGAATATTCATTCAACATACTTTATAAGTGCAGCGCTAAAATGAAATGAATTAAACCGACTATATTTGATTTCGTGTAAATAGCTTATTTTATCTGAGTCTAACTTGGATTTCAGGGTTTACAAAGGAATTTACTTCTGATTGGACAGTGGTCAGCAACTAGTGTAATGTGTCTAGTCCTATCTTTGTTGCAGATAGAATTCTATTGGTCAAGTTTGAAATGTGGCCACCATTCTGGGTGGCTTGACGTCACGATGCACTTTGAATCCTTGATATTAGATGGTTGGAGGCAGTCGGTACGAAGACCTGGTGGGACCTAGGTTTCATGTTAGATGGCACTCACCAGTCACCAAGGTTTATCTGCAACCTCGAAGGAACTCATATCCTTTCTGAGATTCAAACCTGCAGCACCCGGTAAGTGGTGCAGTCAGAGACGTTACCACCACTGAGCTGTTCAGGCTCAATGCACCGTAGTGAATCACCTAAAATGTTGGCCACATTGCAAGCTTGAATAATAGAACTAAGTCTGCACCAAACAAAAGACTAGACACATCACACTGTTTACTGACTAGTGTTCAATCAAAAGTATACAATACAGTCCTAAAGGAGGTCAATCGCGAACCAGCCTGAATAGCTCAGTGATAATGTCTTTGACTGCAGCACCCACTGGGTGACGCCGGTTCAAATCTCAGAAGGGAGATGAGTTTCTCCAAAAGATCGTAGATACGCCTTACTTACTGTTGAGTGCCAGCTAGCACGAAACCGAGTTCCCGGCAGGGCTTACTTCCGATCGCATCCAACCATCCAATACCAGAGGAAAGCATCTTATTACAATAATACAAGTTAAAATAAAAGCTACAAATTTGATATAATAAATAACTTACCAATTGAAAGTAAAGCACTCAGTGTATGTCCATGCATTTCTGATTTTAAAGCATCTTTCATATTACGTTTACCAAGTGATGTGTATTCATCGAATACAGCACGTAAATGAGCATAAGATCGTGTAACCAAAATATGAATGAACCTACAAAAGCGAATATCAATTTTATTTAACTATTGGACAAAAATATTTCGGCCTCTGTTGTCATATCAGCTGCCAGTCACAAGAGCTCCGACGAAGTCTGAGGATTGATATCAACGGGCAAAACATAAATTATCTTAAAATACCCAAAAATACCCATTGAGGAGTCATGAAGAAAATAAAAGACAATTCATCAGCGAAGAAAATGCTCCTTTATCGACGGAATCATCTTCACAGGGCTGTACAGTCGTATTTATACTTAACAAACAATGTATAGTAAGTAGTCTATTATTGAGTAATAAGGGGTGACATAATTGTTACAATTACTCAAAGTGGCTTTAGAAGTAAAAAACAAAAGTTGTGAATTACGTGGTACTCAGCGGCACAAAGGAAGAAATGGTTAGATGTTTAATAAAGTTAAAATTGCTATTGATTGAGAATAAAGGTGATAGTTGCGTATCGATTTAACAAGTGTGAAGAGGGTGTGGAAATGTACAAAAGGAACATATGAGAGTGATCATGGTGAATTAATTATTAAATCGGGGTTGTATTGACGAATTGTCAGTGCCTCCGCCATACATAAAAGCTGAAACCTGATACCCTTTTCTACCATTTGGTCTCGTTATATAGATAATCTTGAAGGACGATTCTGGTGGAGCTGTGTGGCTTGAGTTCACCAAGTACAGGAGAATTGAGCTAGTAATTGTCTTGCATTGTTCTTTTTGCTAACCATGCCGAATAATGTTCAGAGATGCGTTTGGCAGCACAAAGCGCACACTTTCCCTTGATATGTAAATTCATATGCCTCTTTTTGCAATTTAATATGACTATTTGACCTTATCGACCTTTTTGATTTATGTCGAATGAGCATTTTTCACGTCATCTTCCTATATAATACGTGAGATGCTCATGTATACAGTCCAAAGTTGATGAGTATCCTGCTCGTGTCAACTCCAAATGTATTTACCCACTCACTTGTACTTGTGGCAACATGTACACAATGAGTAATAATAATGATAATAATACTTTTTTTTACTTTTGATTACAGCTTGGTTCCACACTGTATTTTTGGTACGTGTATGGAATTTTCAGCATGGATATCGGTAGCCCAAATTTCGCAGGCCGACCATAGATATCAGGTGTGCGTCGGCAGGGGATCGAACCTCGGACCATGTACATGGTCGGCGAGAGTCCTAACCACTGTGCTACCGACGCACATAAAAGTCTACTTTATTCCAAAAACAGTACTTATAATACAGAGTGGAATTCTCAACACTGAGATGGAAGTATCTACTAGGTTTTTCTGCGCATATCGCCAACAATCTTTGTGTATAAAGTAAGATAACGCTTCCGAAGGCAACTGTTAAGCACCTGACTAATGCAGAGCATAAAAATAATAATACATAATACATGTTTAACCACAGAGTGATATCAGTTAGAGAATCAATGAAACCCAGTATGGAGTACTGGACAAATGTTTGGTATACGAGCTCACCTTGTAACCGAAAGGTCTTAGGTTAGAACTATAGTGGGTGCATACTATCGACGAGTTCCAAACTAGCGCGAAACAGCTGTTCAGTGTACCCTGGTTTTCAATGATTCTCTAACAGACACCAATCCGTGTTCAGATTTGAAACAAATCAATTCCCTGTAAAATACTTGTTGTTTGGTTATGTAATAATTTTACTTCTAATCACCATTTCTTTTCGCTTATATATATAAGGAAGCGAAATTATGGTAAGAACGTCACTGTGGCCACGATAGGGCGAGTAAGTGTATGTAGTGCTTTTCAAAGCAAAGGCCCAGTTTCAGATCCCGTATATTCAATGATTTAACTATGCATAGATGGTATATTCGAAGTCGTTTCGTGAGATATTGAGGGATTCTGTGTGGCATTCTGAAAGAGTCATGTTGAAGGAGGGCGGGGGGGGGGGTCGACATCCAAAGTCGAAAAGATGTTAGAGTATAGATCTACTGGTATTTTTCTTTTCTCCTCTGGTTAGCTAGGTTGGATAGTGTTTTAGAATACGTTTAATGACGTGACATTGTGTACTGTACTGATAAATGCACACGAAGTTAATCCATTCGTACGTTAAGGATCAGACACCGCTTTTAGCCACCTCAGTGTGTGTTTATCAGTTTACTTGTTCCTTTACAGCTAAGTATGCCGGGTGTACCTAACGTGTAGTCTGCAAACGTATTCTGGAACACTTTCCAGCCTTACTAGCCAGAAAAGAAAAAAACACCTCATCAATTGAGGACATCGGACACCATCCAGTAGTATACAGAGCCAGGCGTTTAAATAAATAATACACCTTGACATACTACTATGTACAGGATATTAGCCTATGTTTCCTTAAGGCAGATAACTTGATGGAAACATATATATTTTATGGGAAAAAATCTACAGAAGACCTCAAAATATCTATATAGAGGGGAATTTTATGAATGTATACAACCTTTATTATTATTGTGATTATTTTAAAATGTTACTAAAATTCTAAATAAGTAGTATTCTACAATTGGTGGATGGTGGCTAGCAGTGGAATCCAGGATGCGCATTTCGTCCTATTTGGGACTCGTCAACTGGATGTGCCTGAGACCGAGCACTTCGGTCCAATCAATCGACGGGAAAATCAAAAATTCAATTCAATGAGTAGTATTTTAACTATCGTTAGAAATAATTTTCAATGTCATTACTTTGTAAAAATCTGTTAAAGTAGAAGTATTCTTATTGAAGTTGTTGGAAAAGTTGGATCATCTCAGTACAGGAAATTCACGTGACACATTATTAGTGGACCTTCAATCATTCAAGATGTGAACAGCTTGACCTCGTCAGTTATCAAACACCAAAGAAACGCTGGATACCAAGTGGATGTACATGGAGCACTCAAAATAACTGACAAAATAAACAGTTCAAGTATCCTGAGATTTATTGAAACTATTGCAGCAGAATGATTGAAATTTGATTTATGTGTTCAAAAGGAATCCATCGTTGAACTTCGGTTACCTTGATAACTTCCACTTTAGTAACTCTATGTCTTCTGATTTCATCGTTTTGTTTCATTCCTGTCCAACGAAACACAATTTTCGCTTGACTTTCTTTTTCAATTTAAGATTTGATCCTTTGAATTGTACTCACGGAACTACATCATCTCTCATCTTTTCGTTAGACTTCGTAAACATCAAATTTAGATTCTCTAATCTTCTAGGCACTAATCAACGTATTTTACTACCTCTAATGTCACACTTATCACTGAGTTATCACTGTCCTGACAACAAAATTGTTCATTTCCCACAGGAAATTCTGCTCTTACTATATTTAATCTAATTTTTTTTAAATTTTTGATTTACAGCTTGATTCCACACTGTATTTTCGGTACAAGTATGGAATTTTCAGCATGGATATCGGTAGCCCAAATTTTGCAGGCCGACCGTAGATATCAGGTGTGCGTCGGTGCGGGCACGAACCCCGGACCATGTGCATGGTCGGCGAGAGTCCTAACTACTGTATATATGTATATATACTGCCTGAAGAAGGAGCGAAGACAGGACTCCAAGTGAACGTAGAGAAGGTTGAGGCGACGAAGATAAGCAGACATGCACTATCAGCAACAACAAACAGTAACAGTCACCATCACAGGGAGAGATTTAACACAGGTTGTTTTTTTCACTTATCTAGGAAGCCAGCATCATTTCAGCCACAGGCAGTTGGAAAGGATAAGAATGTCTGGGCCAGCCAGAATCCGAAAGGTAAGATATACCAAGGATATTCAAATCTAGAAAGTAGTCCAGTGAATAAAATTTCCTTAGCTATGAAATCATCTTCAGAGGCCATGCAGTCGTATTCATATATACATAACAGAGGGTGATATAATCTGTGTGATTACTGGGAAGTGGTTTCTAAAATAAAATCGAGAAGTTACATAACATTCAACGGCACGATGGAACAAAGGGTGGGAAATCTGATAAGGTTAGAATTGTTACTGAATGAGAAGTAAGGTAGTTGAGTTTCCGCTAGACAAGTGCCAAGAGGGTGAGAAAATATACAAAAGGAACGTGTAAGACTGATAATTATGGGAGGTATTACTAATAAAAGAAGCGAAGGATTGAGACAATGGTAGAATATATGTATATACATATATATAAACTTAAACTTTTACTGAAGGCTTACAGAGACCCTAACCAAGCTGCTTATAAACACAGAAGGTGTACTTTAGATGGCGCTGTCGTCTTATATCATAATATTGTCTCTCATTTGGACAAATTTTCCAAATATGTTACGTTGCCTTCCTAGATCACGCAGTCAACTTTGACTCTGTACCTAGGCCTCTTTTGTTAAACAAGCTTTATGAGACACAAGCAGAGTAGCTGAATCCTTAATTTTCTGATAGAAAACAGTACAATGTTTACAATGTGAAGTCCTGCGCTGCTTCAATTACTCCGGCTGCTGTTCCTAACTCAGGGTGGTGTCATTTCTCCTTTTCTGTTTTCTTTCTTCTTACAGGACTTACGAAGTTCTGACGAATCCAATTTTGTTAGGTATGCTGGTGATCTAACTGTTTCTATGACAGCGGTTACTTCTCAGTCAGATTGTTCTAAAATGAATAACTTTTTATCAGCAATTAGTCAGCGGTCAGTGGTCCTTGAGCTCAAATGGTCTTAAGCTAAATCCCTTCAAATATCGGGTGGTTAATTTCACTTTCAGACACAAATGCCACCTACATGAACTAGTTAGTCCTGGTCTTTCCACATTATGTTATTGACTAGAAAGATATTTCGTTCAACGTAATACGTAAGGAAGTTAAGATAGTCTGGTAACATTCGGTCTCCACTTTTACAGTTTGCTAATTCTTGTATTCTTTCCTGGGTCACTTAAGAAAGACTACTTTGTTATACTACGAAGTCCACTAAAAGCTATCAATAGGGCGAGTGAGGGCACCGCTAAACCAACTTGTTAATACTGTCGGAAATAGTCACATGGAGTTGTGCAAGAAATTAGCGAATACTATCTTGTTGGACAAAATCTGAGCATCCTCTCTATATACAACTCTCCTTGCTGCATCTCACCAGATAGGTAGAACTAGAAGCGACTACAAAGAAGACTTTATGCTCGGAAGACTAAGTATAAAGACTCTACGATACCTTATTTGATAGGCACACACCTAATGTGTTGAGAAAGGCATGATGTAGGAGACATTACCAACTTTCTGAGGAACTCTCAGTAAATGGCCCAATATTTTTCCATTGTTATACTGTGATGGATCTTCCCACTTAACCTAATTTTATATTCATACTGAAAAATATTACCCATGTACTGGCCTGTTTCAATTATTACCCGTATAATGAGAAAGTTAGATGCACCAGTAAACTGTACTACATACTGAAAATTCTATACTTGTACCAACAAAGAAATACTGTTGTGAGTGCTGGCTGCAAGCTAAACAGAGTAGACAGCGATTTACGTCAATGCCGCGAGTGGATGATTTGTGTTTGATGTCACACAAAATCGAAAACTTACAAGCGAAAACCAACCGACAAACTGGTCGAAGAAGCACCCGGCGAAGACAGGACTCCAGGTGAACATATACAAGACGGAGGTTATGAAAATAGCCAGCCAACAACAACAGCAGTAACATCCAGTGCCAATCACCATCAACTTGAGGGATTTCAAAGATGTTACTTCATTCACTTATCTAGCTAGGGAGCATTGTCTCAACTACAGGAAGTCGGAACGGACGAGGATGTCAAATCGAGCGAGAATCGGGAAGGCGAGCGAGAAACACATTCATCAATCTGAAACCAATCTGGAAATCTTTGTCACTCAGCCACCATCAACAACAAAATTCGGATTTTCAATACAAACGTGAAGTCAGTTCTCCTATACGGATCAGAAACTTCGCGGGCGGGTCACAAAGAATATTTCCAACCAACAGCCTGTTGCAGACCTTTACCAACAACTGTATTCGCTGGCTCTATATTGAAGATCAGATGACCGGGCCGGAAACAATCACCAACTATTGGAAACTATGGGAAGGAACAAAACATGAACAAACCAATCACCAACCAACAAATATGCAGGAGAAGGTGGAGATGGATTGGACACTGACTCGCTGAGGAGGCCGCTGGGTGACATCGCGCGCGCATCAGGCTATTGATCGAGTGGAACCAGGCCGAAAGGGAAGCGGCGAGTGGGACGTCAGTGCAAGAGTGACATAGAGGAGATGGTGTGAAGGGAAGTTGAAACAGTATGGACTAACATGGATAGATGCGGGTGAAAAGTACAGCGGAAGGAAGACAGAAGCAAGTGGAGACGTGCATTTGAAGCCCTATGTTCCACTAGAAACCCAAGGGAACAATAATAATAATATTGAAACAGTATACTTACTTTGATTCATCTGTTCCAACCCTTTGTTCTCCAGCTCTGTATAAATCTTCAGCATCTCTTCGTGCAAGATTTTTATCAACATAGGCAGATTCATCTCTATTCCCTTGCAGTAGTGCAATACATATTTGTTTGAAATGACGTGTAGTATCATTCTCAACATCTTTTTCTAAATTACGACCATTGAACACTTGAAAAAGATGCAGCGGGTGAATAAAATTGTGAAAAAATAAAACGTCAGTGAAATTTTACAAGTGAATGCATTTTTAAAAATCAATAGTTATCTACACTCTCTGAAAGGACAAGGTCGCGAAGTTAGGCTATCGGACCCCAATAGAACGAGCACCATTAATGGTTGCAGACTAGCCAGTCACAGAGAATTAGTAAAAACAAGTGAAAGACGTTGTATACACAAAAATTCAAAAAAAAGTGACTTTCTGCTTGATGGGTGGTGACTAGCAGTGCAATCCAAGATGCGTATTTCGTCCTATCCGGGACTTGTCAGCTAGACGACTCCTTTTCACAGTGTTGTGAGAATAACTAATGGCTTCTCAAAGAAATGTCAACATCTATCCAGATCACTATAATTTAGAATTGTCAGCTATAGTTGAGTTAGGATGGATTACAGCCGACAGTTACAAGCCATTGGATTTTCATCTGTTCGCCGACAGAGCCATCGAATGCAGCAGTAACACACAGGAGGATTTGGCAGCAGAGATATCTCGTTGACCAAATGCCATACAGGTATGCCAAAATACATAGATGAATCTCACATTAAAATCTCCAACTATCCATAGTCTTCGTATTTTATCTCTTTTGTCTTCCCTTCACGTTTTCTGCGCTGTCTCACACAAAGATCTCACATTTCGCCTCTTTGCAATGTAAATGTTTCTCCATCCTGCAATATTTTTACAGAAGACATCACACACAATATTATTATTTCCTTTAATTCCCAGAGGAACATAGGGCTTCAGCTGCACGTGTCCACTACGTTCGGTTCTCTGCTAGAGTTTTCACCTGGCTCCAAATCTGCCCTCTTCACATGACCTCCTCCAAGTAACTCTTGGACGATCATCTCGCCGCTTCCCTTTCGGGTTTTACTCGAGCAATGGCTTGTCTAGTGATGTCACTTGATAGTTTGTTTTCTCAGAGTATGGCCAATCCACCTCCATTTCTTCCTGCCTAATTGTTGCACAATCGGTTCCCGGTTAGTTCGCTCTCAGAGATCTTGAGTAGTATTGAGCGAAGACAGCTGTTGATGAAGGTCCATAGTTTGTTTGAGGTACTCTTTACGACGCGCCAAGTCTCTGAACCGTATAGTAAGTAGCACTGACTTCACATTGAAGTTGGAAACCCGGATCTTATTTTTGATGCTGAGTGCTGTTGATCTCGTCCACACAGACTTGAGAGTAACAAAAACTTGCCTTGCTTTCCCCGATCCTCGCTGCTTTGATATCCTCATCAGCTTCGTCCACCTGCAGTTGAAACGATGCTTCCCAGGTAGGTGGGTAGGTGAAGAAGGCTGTTTCTTTCAAATTTCTCCGATTTATGCTGATTGTTGTCTGTTGTTGGCCAGGAATCTTCATCCCCTCTGTTTCTCTATGTTCACCTGAAGTCCTATGTTCTCTGGATGCTGCTTCTGCCAACTTATTGCTTTTCGCTTGCATATCTTCCAGTTTGTAGGAAATCAGACATGTATCATCAGCGAAGTCCAGATCCTCCAAGTCCCTTTTTGTGTGGGTCTATTTTATGCATGTTTCCTCATTGCCCGCTGTCTGTCGCATTATCCAATCTACTGCAATCAGGAAAATCATTCGCGAAAGTAGGTGGCCTTGACTCACTCCCGTCTTCACTTCTTCGAAGCGTTCCATGATTTTCTTGATGTAGATTACTTGGCATGCAGTACTGTCGTATATCTGTTGGATGAGATGTATGATTGTCGGCGTCAACCCGTAGTAGCAAAGTAGTTGCCAAATCACCTCTCGACCAACGCTATCGAAGTCCTTCACACACAATTTACTACTTACAAATCCTTGTCAGTAAGACACTCTACCACAATCAGAAATGCTTCCGATTCGGCTCATTTTAACTGTCCGGTGTTTACAAAAAAAGATTGATCTACTAAACAATCACTCCTATTTGACATGAATAGCTTTTAGCTACTCATTTCAATATTTCAGTAGTCTATACGCCAAAATTTCTGAAGATTTTATGCAGAAAATCAATAAATGAAAAGAAATATGGTAACAAAAGTACAAATTTATGAAATTTCTCTAATGAATTGAAGGTTTTCATGATAATGTTGATCAATAAACTATAGGCGTACGTAATTATATATATATATATATATATATATATATATATATATATATATATATATATAAAGTATGCATAGTTTAATGGAATGATTCCTTGTTTAAAATACTCATAGTTTTATCCTTAAGCGATGACACATGATAAGAAGAAGTACAGTATTTTAAATAGCAATAGTTAATAGCCTTTTCACATGCTCTCAAAGCCTCATCAGCTGTTAAAAACAATAATAATAATAACGCACTTATTTGTGTATTCATTAGTATTTATCGTGTTTGCGTATTGAAAGACACAAGCGTATCAGTTAGCTATTGTTTTTGTCAGGATTATACCACTTGAATAAAGTGAACGTAGGGCGATGATGGGAAACAGTAGGATGCGGATACTTTTCGAGAATTGAAGCTTCAGTGAAATGGTTTCTACCATTACTGTGTATCATTTCGCTCAGTAAACAAGTTGGCTACCAGATTTGTCTGTATTCTGTATTACAGAAGGTTCTGAATCTTATGTGCTTGAATATAATGCTGTCAAGATATGTATAAAAGTGTTGGATGTTTAAAGCGCTATGAGTGACTTCTAGTCAGGTAGGATGCATCCAGGAATGCATGATATGTGAGCGTAACAGAATATATCTAATGGTTTTGATGAAGTGTTTTCCTACGGAAATCTTGTTGATGTTAAAGACGTCTGTGAAAATAAAACTCGAGTGGCTAATTAGTTAACTAAACTACCTTCAACTAGCCACCCCTCCCCTCGGTTAAGCACATTTTAATCGACACAAAGTGACCTACTCCGTTTCTATTTAGATGTTGATTTTTATTCCTTTACGTTTCCAGTGGAACATAGGGTGGCTTCAAGCTAGAGGATTGGTGTTTACTTTTACGGGATCAGGTTGCTAGCAAGCCTCATGCCCAACGTTCCCTCTTTACCAGCCTCATTACTGGCTTAGTGAGGTAAAGGATTGCGCCGGTGACCGGGGATCGAACCCGGAATCACATACGTGGTTGGCGAGCATTTTATCGCTGTACCACTGACGCACTATTTAGACGTAATGTATACTTTTCTGAGGTGATAATATGAAACTTTGACTGTTGTTTTAATGGAGCTTCGTATGATTTTGGAAGTATGTGGGTGGTTGTTACTTTCCCGCTGCCCGCGCACTGTGGGAGTTGATGTTTTCTTGTGGTACCTGAAACAGAAAGAGAATTAGTGTTGCATGACAGCATAGCCCAGGGGATAACTGCTTGACGCCGATCACACACAGCTTGTTTGAAGTGGCTTTTAGGTTTGGTTGCGTATAAGTCACTTAACGAAGGCTACGGACCACCGTAGGGTAATTGATATAAGTATAAAACTTGGGCACTGTGGTAGAGCTAGAAACGTCATCAGTTAATATTTCTGTACAACACTATGTGAATTATCAAAATAAAATATTATCCATAATGGAGTTACACCGTACGGTAAGTCGAGATTTATAGTTCTTGGAATTGACCTTTTCTAACCGCCATCTCTCCCTAGGGTGGAGAGACAGTACAGCTGGTATATTGTTCATCTGAGGGAAACATCTTACTGTAGTTGTATTAATGCTCCTCAGCATAGTGTAAGAAATCCTTCGCTACGCTGATGACTGCTTTTTTATTCGAATCGCTACCCTAAAAAACATAAAGGCGTGTTAGGACCTGCAGGAACATTAGTTCCAGACACGGCAGCTTGTTGGGTCATTGCGATATGCAAACCCGACTATCACCATGTCAAAGTAGAAGCTATCAGTTGGGTCTTTCAGATGGTAAGAACCAATGAAGGGTGGAGACAATTGGTGATGTGGCTCAAAATCGTTCTCACTAGCTGGCGCAAATTTATTCACTCTTTGTTATTTGTCACATCTAACAAAGGTGTATTGTTCTTCCATATTACTATTCTTTTCCTGTCACACTTGCGTTCATTATCTCTCTTTCGAACCTCTCTTTACTCTCTTCTCTTTTGTTGTATGTGCCACATGGAGGGGAGTGTGGCAAGTTGAACTGCTGCATATTTGTGCAAAGTTCTACGTTGAAACCAGTCAGCTAGGATAATGGCGCAGATTAGAGTGGGCCAACTTTTAATCTAACTACTGTCAAAATGACGATACTGCTGAGAAGAGGATGGTTATGTTCATGCATTCTAAGGTCCCCAAATGAGTTTTAATATAATACATACATCATTCTACTGACAGTCACTATATCTGAGCAAGTTATTTAGTTATAAGTTAAATGTTCATTTAAGTTGTGGGGTAAATGTTACTAAAAACATTAGTCATGTCGACAGTATCGAGTCACCATCACGCCAAAATCATTCTAGAGTTAGGTATACAAAAGTAAATCGCCTTTCTTTCTTCACTACTATTGGAAAAGACACCATCCTGAAGTATCAAGCACCTTTGAACATTATGAATTCGACCCTGTGTCTCTTCGGTTCTAGCGTTCACTGTCTGAGACTGGGGACAGTTTATAAATACTAATGCGTCATCATAATTACTCTGTCATTGGATTCCAAGTAGAACTTCGGGCTGTGACTACACAACTCCATTTTACTCTGTTCTCTGATGTCGTTCATAGTTGACTCCACGATTGTTCATAAGTTTTCATTACCACTTTATAAGAGCTCCTTGTATGATATTCTTGAATCGACTCACAACTTGTCATTGCCTCCTAACTAAGGTTCCTTTAGAGTGTCTGGCATATGTCTGATTCGTATCCAGTTCATTTAGCATATTTGTTCACTGGCTGACTGACTGTTTTCAGCATAGAACTTTTCACCAATGTGCGGCAGTTCAATTCGCCACACTTCCAAATGTAGCACACAAAGCAAGAAAAGAAAGTAGAAATGCAAAACAGTGAC